TCATTTTAAAACAAAATTCACTCATTTTTATGGGATCATGATATTACCATAAATAGCAAACTTATAAACATATTTTCAAAATTGAAGAGTTCCAACTCTCTGATTGGTTGTCTATAATTGACTAATTTGCAAAATAAATGATAAGGTTTCAGCAACTTTGCCCATGGGTGATAGGTATAAAATACGAGATCATCCTTGGGTATCTGACAATGTTGTCACATGATTTTGTTTATTTTTTTTTACTTTCAAAAAACTAATTATTTAAATGCATTGTCTCTTTCTCTGATAGGTATTTGTGTACAAACAATAACATGGACAGTCAACAAAGATATTGTACTTCACAACTATATATACTCACTTAATGTCCTTCAAAGAAGAATAAACTTTTCAACCTGAAAATCAGAGATGATGCAAAAGGCACGGCAAGCATGGAATTCCGGAAATGAAAAAAAAGTTAAGCAACAAAATCCATGTATGAAGATTTCTAAAACATCTAAGTTAAAATCTGAACAGAAAGAGCATGCTTGTGAGTAGTCATAAGGAGAATAAAACAAAATAAATCCAACAGGAATATCCTCCATCTTGAAGACAACTAAGTAACTTTAAGTCCAGCATATGTTCTTCTTGTGATGAAACTTATTTTAAAAGATATGAACAAAATGTTGATCAACGTTTCATAAGTCGAAAAAGGTATCTCTACAACTACAAGTCCCACAAATCCTTGGTCATAGTCCCAGACTCCATACTAAAAACATTTCTCATATAAGTCTCAAAAGATATTGGTCAAAGTCCTTTAAGTTTAGAATGGCATCTCTTCTACTACAAGTCCCTCAAAACATTGGTCATAGTCACACAAATCCATACTAAAAACATTTCTCTTATGTAAGTCCCACAAGACATTGGTCAAAGTCCCATAAGTCCAGAAAGGCATCTCTTCTACTACAAGTCCCAAAAAAACCTTGGCCATAGTCCCACAAATCCATACTAGAAACATTTCTCAAACAAGTCTCACAAGACATTGGTCAAAGTCCCATAAGTTCAGAACAGCATCTCTTCTACTACAAGTCCCACAAAATCTTGGCCATACTCCCACAACTCCATACTAGAAACATTTCTCATATAAGTCTCACAAGACCTCGGTCAAAGTCCCATAAGTTCAGAAAAGCATCTCTTGTACTGCAAGTCCCACAAAACCTTGGACATAGTTCCACAAGTACAAAAGAGGCACCTTTCTACTACAAGTCCCACAACACCTTGGTCCAAGTCCCTCAACTCCATACTAAAAACATTTCTCAAACAAGTCTCACAAGACATTGGTCAAAGTCCCATAAGTTCAGAAAAGCATTTCTTCTACTACAAGTCCCAAAAACCTTGACCATAGTCCCACAACTCCATACTAAAAACATTTCTCATATAAGTCTCACAAGACATTGGTCAAAGTCCCATAAGTTCAGAAAAGCATCTCTTGTACTGCAAGTCCCACAAAACCTTGGATATAGTTCCACAAGTACAAAAGAGGCACCTCCTTAACTACAAGTCCCACAAAACATTGGTCAAAGTCCCACAAGTCCATACTAAAAACATTTCTCAAACAAGTCTCACAAGACACTGGTCAAAGTCCCAAAAGTTCAGAACAGCACCTCTTCTACTACAAGTCCCACAAAATCTTGGCCATAGTCCCACAACTCCATACTAGAAACATTTCTCATATAAGTCTCACAAGACCTCGGTCAAAGTCCCATAAGTTCAGAAAAGCATCTCTTGTACTGCAAGTCCCACAAAACCTTGGACATAGTTCCACAAGTACAAAAGAGGCACCTCTTCTACTACAAGTCCCCAAAACCTTGGTCAAAGTTCCTCAACTCCATACTAAAACATTTCTCAAACAAGTCTCACAAGAAATTGGTCAAAGTCCCGTAGGTTCAGAAAAGCATTTCTTCTACTACAAGTCCCACAAACCTTGGCCATAGTCCCACAACTCCATACTAAAAACATTTCTCATATAAGTCTCACAAGACATTGGTCAAAGTTCCATAAGTTCAGAACAGCATCTCTTCTACTACAAGTCCCACAAAATCTTGGCCATAGTCCCACAACTCCATACTAGAAACATTTCTCATATAAGTCTCACAAGACCTCGGTCAAAGTCCCATAAGTTCAGAAAAGCATCTCTTGTACCGCAAGTCCCACAAAACCTTGGACATAGTTCCACAAGTACAAAAGAGGCACCTCTTCTACTACAAGTCCCAAAAAACCTTGGTCAAAGTCCCTCAACTCCATACTAAAAACATTTCTCAAACAAGTCTCACAAGACCTTGGTCAAAGTCCCATAAGTTCAGAAAAGCATCTCTTGTACTGCAAGTCCCACAAAACCTTGGACATAGTTCTGCAAGTACAAAAGAGGCACCTCTTCTACTACAAGTCCCACAAAACCTTGGTCAAAGTCCCTCAACTCCATACTTAAAACATCTCTCAAACAAGTCTCACAAGACATTGGTCAAAGTCCCATAAGTTCAGAAAAGCATTCTTCTACTACAAGTCCCACAAACCTTGGCCATAGTCCCACAACTCAATACTAAAAACATTTCTCATATAAGTCTCAAAAGACATTGGTCAAAGTCCCTTAAGTTCAGAACAGCATTTCTTCTACTACAAGTCCCAAAAAAATCTTGGCCACAGTCCCACAACTCCATACAAGAAACATTTCTCATATAAGTCTCACAAGACATTGGTCAAAGTCTCACAAGTCCATACTAAAAACATTTCTCAAACAAGTCTCACAAGACATTGGTCAAAGTCCCATAAGTTCAGAACAGCATCTCTTCTACTACAAGTCCCACAAAATCTTGGCCATACTCCCACAACTCCATACTAGAAACTTTTCTCATATAAGTCTCACAAGACCTCGGTCAAAGTCCCATAAGTTCAGAAAAGCATCTCTTGTACTGCAAGTCCCACAAAACCTTGGACATAGTTCCACAAGTACAAAAGAGGCACCTTTCTACTACAAGTCCCACAACACCTTGGTCCAAGTCCCTCAACTCCATACTAAAAACATTTCTCATATAAGTCTCACAAGACATTGGTCAAAGTCCCATAAGTTCAGAAAAGCATCTCTTCTACTACAAGTCCCACAAAATCTTGGCCATAGTCCCACAACTCCATACTAGAAACATTTCTTATATAAGTCTCACAAGACATTGGTCAAAGTCCCTTAAGTTCAGAAAAGCATCTCTTGTACTGCAAGTCCCACAAACCTTGGACATAGTTCCACAAGTACAAAAGAGGCAGCTCCTTAACTACAAGTCCCACAAAACATTGGTCAAAGTCCCACAAGTCCATACTAGAAACATTTCTCAAACAAGTCTCACAAGACATTGGTCAAAGTCCCATAAGTCAATAATTATTTGAATAATTATGGGCCTTTCATTTATCTCCTTATTCTCTTACTCCATCATTTTGAGGAATCAAAGCTTACTGATTACAGTGTGATTATGAAATTATTTTCTGCACGCAATCATTAAAATATCATTGCTATAACAAGTTCAATCATGAAAGACATCAGTAAACAATTAATATTAAGTTGAGATGTAAAATGTTGATATAATTAGCTAACAATAATTAGCTTATTACAAGTGTATTGTCCCTAAACATCCAGATGACAGAGATAATTTGATTAGAAGTAACTTATACGTTTATAAACGTTTAATTTAAGAAAGTTATTTCTGCCAGAGACATGTAATGTGTCTGTTTAGGCTAAACAGCATCATTATTTAACTAAAACAACTTTAAAAAGTGTGTTAAAATCATATTGCATATTGTTTGTTGTGAGCAAAAAAATCAGTGCAGGGTACTTAATTTCCAATACTGACAAGTTTTTGTTGAGGAAATTCAAGTTATAAAAAAAATTGGTACTCAGCAAATTTTCCTGATACAAACATTTTAAATTAAATTAGTATATTAGAATATAAATTCCATAATGTTAAAAATTACATAACAAATAACATAACCTATCAAATAAAATTGTAATAATTATCCTCTTGCTCCATATTTTCAATATCAGTAAAAGTGATGATGCATTAATATTCATTTAACATACTGACTGCTTTCATCATCTTCTTTCATCACTTATATCACAAGAATTTACATACATTATTCCAAAAAATTGGTATACTACATAAAATCAGAAGGAAACAGAAACTTACCTTTAACTTTTAACAGCTCAGTTCATCTTCAGTAGTGGCCATTTTCAATCATTAAACTCTTGAGATGTTCCAAACAGCAAATGAAAGTGAGGACACTGTATGTTATATTGTAAAAATCCGAGAGGTTCCGAAATTGAAAACCAAAATGAGGCTAGCAGAAAATTTATGATGATGTCCATCACATAGACAGATTTTGTCCAACCAATCTGTCCAAAATTTTGTGGGACTTCATCAAACAAAGTGAAAATTATCAATGTGGGACTTCAGAAACTGACAAATTTTGAAAAATTTTGTGGGACTTTTTTTTTAGTCCCAGAAGGTCAAAAAAGTCTCACAATATCCCCCTCGTACAAACGGACGGACAGACGGACAGACGGACGGACGACGGACAACGGGTGATCAGAAAAGCTCACTTGAGCTTTCAGCTCAGGTGAGCTAAAAACCGAAAATAATATTTGATCTAGTGTTTAATTGCTTCATTTTGTATACTTAAATTACATTGTAGTTCAAATATTCAAAAGTAATTGCATGGAAAACCTTAGATCCAAAAAAACAATCCCAGTCAAGCACAGTGACTTTATAAGATAATGCCACGGTGTTAGTATGGACATAACATCCGAAATTGTGGTTATGAAGATGTTGCATTGAAACCCATTTTCCATTTATAGAACACAAGTTACACCATTTGACCCAAGATGCAATCTTAACCTAGGTCATCCCTAGATGACCAACCTAAGTTTCTTGTAGGTCCCAGACCAAATCTTTCTCAAATTCTAGGACTGCATTATTCTGTACCTCTTGTTCAATGGTTTCCAAGTCATCATCACTGTATTTTTGGGAGATGTGGAGAATTATTGAAGCACAGGTATCTGCATGGAATCCCATGAAGACGTCTCCTGTCTTATACTCTGATTTCTTCTCCCTGAAGAAAAAATTATGTAAAAAATAAAGTCTCCATCTTCATTCCTTCAAGCTAGCCCTGGGACCACATTGTTGACAGAGCTTGCAGAATCCACACTACATTAGGATGCATGCATATCAATATGACAAACTGTGCCCATGTGTCCTCAAATTTTTTTTTCAAGATATAGTCAAACCTTGTTATCTCAAACTTGATGGGACCAAGAAAAACTTCAAGATATCAGAGGATTCAAGATATCATGGGTAAAATACTTAAAGAAAAAATCATCAGGACTTTCAAATTACTTCAACATACCCATGGTATTCGAGATATCAGCGTTTGAGATACCAAAGTTCAACTGTTGCATCTTTTCTTATGTTCGTAAATTATATTTTTTCCCTTTGTTGCAGACTCAGCCTACCCTGGGAACCAACAATCAAAAAATTTGAATATACACTACTTGAACATGCTAGCCTAGCTATTAACATGCCCACTTGTCTAATTAAATTGATACATGTAACAAAATAAATTGCCGTATGAAAAATCAATATGGGAAAAAAAAATTAAATTGAATGCAAGATAAAGATTAGTTAACCTTGGGTTTCTTAAGTATAGTACTGTTGTCTTGACAAAGTCCTCTGCCCAATTTTGCAACTTCTGAGCCAGCCTGACTTGTACTGGGGACAACATGGTGGAAATGTTGAGGAAATGTTTCTCTAGTCTGTTGATCAGAGGAATGGGGAACTTACTGTACACAACCTCCTTCTCTGCTACAACTATCAATCTGCAAAGGAATTATAAATCATGTACATATAAGTCATTCATTGCTTCTTTTTGGCATTTTTCTTCTGTCTGTAAATGAGTATAATTACTGTATCTATTTGATTCACTGCTATTTACTGAGTCAATACCATTATCAAGATTGTGCAATTTTTTTCCTTCAATTTTTTTTTTTGAATTTTGATGAAGGTTTATGAAAGTTCATTACCTGAAATTCTTGTGAACCCTACACTTGACACGATGAGTTCCCAATCCAAGATCTACATATCTTTCTCCACCAAAGTAGACATAATACTGAAAAAAAAGGAGAAAAAAGTCAGTCACAGCTGTGCTGATTTAAAGCAAATGAATGTCGTCTTACGATTATCAGGCACATCTTTGTGCATGAAATTTATTTCAATTTCTTTTAATGACAAAACTACAAAACACTCAGATCAATTGAGGAAATTTTTTTGTTGAGCTTTTATACAGCAAAAAGTGATTTTCAAACCAAACAAAAAAATTACCTGATTAAGGGCATCATACAGACTCTCATACAGATTCTCCAAGTTCAGAAGAACCACAGTTTTTCCGGTTTCCATGCAGATCTTGATACGGTTAATATTTCTGCAAACCTAAAAAAAAAAAAGAGACCAAAAAAATCCTTTCCTTATTATGTCTATCAAGTTTATTCAACATTTTAAACCTCACATACATGTATATACTCAGTTATAAATGATATCCAAGAGTGTAACCAAATACAACAATTATATAAAACCCAGCATGACTTTTCACCATCATTATGAATATTTAAATTAAATGAAAGAAAAAGTAAGCAAGCTCACATACCCCATGCTCCCCAAAAACTCGACAATGCAAAACGTAATGAATGGCACAGTGCATTTTAAATACACAGTATAATTCAAAAAGGGGCATTACTTGCAAAAAATCATCATATCAAAACTTCCTGCATATAAGGACATTCAAATCTTTTATGTTACAAATTTAATTTGGCTGAAGTTTCTAGATAAATAATGGAATCAAACTTTCTTGACAATATACAAATCTATACATTATGTCTGAAATACCTACAAAGTTTCAGGAAATTCAGTGCAGGAGTTATGCTGACAAACTGTTATTTAAATTCCTCAGTGATTTCGATTTGTTAATGAGTGTAAGTCCATGTCCAACACATGACAATTTACACATTTAAATAATTGATGGAAACAAAATTATGATGTAGTCATATGAATTTGTTTATATACTGTACTTATGAAATTATTTAAGGCAATTAAAGCACCATTTTGAAGAGGGGGGGGGGGGGGGAACTATCCAAGATTTTGTGTGTGTGTTAAATCATTAATATTTTGATCTCAAAATCAATAGGGGTCTTTTAAGTTCATAAAATATTTCACACGAAATTTCATTAAAAAAGCTGATTCCAGTGGATTTCCTTATTACCTAGCTGGAAAGTTTCTTCAATAATAGGCAAAACTCTTAGGGCAAAAATAAAGGAATTGGAATTTCCTCTACACACTGTTTACTAAATATCTGCACAGTTTGATGAAATTCTGTGCAGCGGTTTATGAGGAGTTGCGCTGACAAACTGTTCATCTCTATATTCAAGATATGGCCAAAAATCTAAGTTGAAAAGTGCCGAAATTCCCAGAAAAAATAAAGGCATCAGAATTTCCTGGTAATATGCACATCTAAAATATTGTGTCCTAAATATCTGCAAAGTTTGACGAAATTCTATGAAGATCGAGGTTTATGAGGAGTTGCCCTGACAAAAAAAACAGGACTGACGGACTGACTGGTCAAAAACATAATTATACCCCCCGCAACTTGTTGTGTGGGGTATAATAAAACGTTTAAAATTAATTGCTTTCACAATCAAATATATGTTATTTTGGTCAACTAATTCCATCCATTTGAATGCAAATTGATCACTATTACAGTACATGCAATTGTGTTTAATCTTGTTCACTAGCTGTTACCTGTGTGTACTCTTGATCACTGGGAAAACTGCTACCAAATATTGTAATGGCATTCTTCATGGTCTGAATCTTCTGTTGTAAAACTGTCAAAGCTCCATAGTTTTCTGTCAGCAGTAGCAGGTACCGTGTATCACTTAGAAAAAGAGAAGATAACATTAATGTGACTAAAAAAACACTAGCAAGGTCATACACAGCATTGTATTCATTGACAACCTTGATCTTTCACAATTCACTTTGAGCAAGCCATAGGGCTGTATCAATATATCAATACCTATCGATATTCAAGAATGTATCATGTCGAACAAAATAACTTCCAATATGTATCAGACAGGCAGATTTTCTTATAATTCTAAGAAAAAGTTGGGAATTTCAATCACCAAAGGTTATATTTTCACTGTTTTGAATTAAAATTGATCAATAATTATTATGATATAATCATTAAGCAGATAGCACATCTTAAATAAATATTACAAAATACATAGACAACTTTATTTTAACATGTTCATTTCACAGTCATTAAAAGTTTGAATTTGAAGTGTAATTTGTAATGACAGTGAGACAAGAACTTCGATATGGATTATAAAACAATTAGTTTACATAAAACTCAAGACATACATTAACTCTTTACCCCTTAATGCCACGATTTGACGCACTGGCCATATCCTTAGAGTGTTTGCCTGGCTGCCCCTTGTACCGTTTTAGATGAATTGGAGTGCAGTTTAAAACTGAACTAATGGGGGTCAAAATATTTCATTTATGCTATGTATTATATATCACTGGATTCGTAATAAATTAAATTTTTCAAATCTATTAGCATAATTTTGATCGGAATTTTCTGTAAATAAATAATTCAGGTGAAAGCAGGTGTAAATCGCAAAATAGATATTTTCAACATGTAAAACGGCTTTAATAAGCCAAAATTGTCTGTATAAATAATAAAAATTATGTGTGATGATATAATTGATGGTTAAATTATAATTAATTATCAATTTTTTAAGTTTAATTCCTCAGAAATCAATAAATTGTAGTGCTACTTCAATGTCAATCTCGCCGACAAATTTTCAGACTTGGCTGATAAAACTTGATTTCTGAACGTTTTTGTTTATTTGAATGATCAAATTATATTAAAATAATTGTTTTCTACACCTTTACATTTATAAATATGTGTAAAATGGAAGGTATCTTCTGAAATTCTGAGAAACAGGTAACGAAATCGGCACTGCGCGGTCCCGAACTTCACAACATTTTCGTATCTTATTTTAATGTTTATTATACACATAGATCATTATAATTTTCAAAACTTTCAAGAAATAGGTAGCTTATAGCTTGAATTTCATGTAATGCTTTACTGGATGAGAAAATATTGCGTATTGACTGAGTTATATGCTCTAAAAACATCGTATGTAACAGTCCGCCATTTTGAATTTTGGTGGGACTTTCCAAGATTCTTTTTGTTTGTTTACACAGGTAAATCACGTGATTTCTAACTGTAGTATGATGCAGTCATCTATTGTTAACCTGCAGGTGGCCACCTGTGCTCTGACAATTTGTAAACAAGCGGTAATTTCAAGTCAAATCAACAATGAAATACACATGCGTCAAAAGTCGTCATTAAGGGTTTGAGACTAGGCGTCAAAAGTCGTCATTAAGGGGTAAAGGATGGAAAGGTCTAAGGGGAATAGAGTTAAATGATTTACAAGACTTTTCTGATAGATTTGTTAAAGTATCCAATATATCGGATATCGCATTATCAAATATTGTATCGTATCGGATTTTTTTGCTCAATAGTGATTACACAGTCCTACCAAGCCACCATAAAATCTACAGCTGCACATCAATGTGTAACAGTCATGTTGATTACTTCCATTTTTTTTTTTATCTTGACCTTTGGTTCATTGAGAATAAAACCTATTGATATCTTTCAAACATTTAGGTTGAAAAGTACTGAAGTTAGCATGTTACAAAAAAGGTGTTGATGAATGGATAGACAGACAGAATTCTACACTGATCAACATTTTCATTACCATATCAAGATATTGATGAAGGGCTCTTATTATAATACACAGTAAAACTTGTCTAATTTGGGCAGAAAAATTTTTCAGATATGACAACATTTTAAGCAATTGAATTTACTGAAATAAAAGACTTTTAAAAAGTTTAAATCATAATAGACAAGATTTCAGAATACACAACATCCAGATAAGACAAGTTTTACTGTTACAGTAATTATAAAATTTGTCAAAGAAGAAGAAGAAGAAAGAGCCCAACAGTCCACTGTCCACAATGCTCACCTGATCCATTTTTTAATGACAATTTGAATGTATCGATTCTGAAAACTAGACCAAATAAATTCTTATCTTTATTATATACGACATTGTATTCCCTTATTTCTATCCATAAAATAATTCAGATGACAATGAAATTGATTTGTTAAGCTAATAATAATTTTCTACTTACCTGTCCACTCCATCACCTTGGAGACAAGCTTCAATGAGACCAGCAGGTGTACAGTCAGGATCTCCTGGTGAAGGCTGTAAAGAAAACCAAAACTTTCAAAATAAATCCATATGTACAGTCACAGATTTACAGAGTGTTACACCCCTCCACCCCCTTCAAAACTATAAAATTAAACATAGGCCAGTGGGGTGTATAAAAATCATTCTAAGAAAGTAAACATCTACATGTATCGATCATCAATATGAATCTGCACCAGAAAATTGCTATCATGATGAATAATTTTTAATGGTTACCGTTAAAATTTTTTCCACTGTTTTGAGTTTTTCTGAGAACACAGCTAGAGGATCTTGGTCTGCTGAGTGTTCAAATCCCCCAAAGTTTCTCTTGATGCAGTGTTGTAGCATCAACCAGGTGGGCTTCTTGTTGTTCTTCTCAGCAAAACTGTACACCATCTTTATCAAGCTGTAAAACAAGCAAATGCAAAATCAATTAGTTTCTCAAAAATTATATCATGTATGATTGTTCTGCTCATCCACGTATCATTCTCAAACAAATAATTATTTAAAATGTATATTAAAAATAACCCCCGTCACCATGCATGTAGATTTGAAAAAAAGTGATCTCTGCCTCATTTGAACTGTGCCTAGAAGTTTTTTTTTTACCTGTAGAAATCTCTTAATCCAAAGAACTCCCTCTTTGCGATGACAGATTGAAACACTTGAAGATACGATTCTGCCAGAGGTTTAATCAGTGGTTTAATCATCTTTTTTATTCTCCTATCTCCAGAGCATATACCACTACAATGTTAAATATATAATAACCTGAAACTTCAATAAACAAAATGAAGGAACAACAAGAGGCCCATGGGCCACATCGCTCACCTGAGTAACTTTGGCCATGCTGTTCTTTACCAAATTTCCCCCCTTGTAATACCTATTGTGGCCCTGCCCTACCCCCGAGGGTCATGATTTGAATAATTTAGAATCTACACTACCCCAGGATGCTTCCAAATAAGTTTCAGCTTATCTGGCCCAGTGGTTCTTGAGAAGAAGATTTTTAAAGATTTTTCTTATATATTTCAACGTAAAACTTGGATTCCCTATTGTGGCCCCGCCCTACCCCCGGGGGTCATGATTTTTAACAATTTAGAATCTACACTACCCCAGGATGCTTCCACATAAGTTTCAGCTTTTCTGGCCCAGTGGTTCTTGAGAAGAAGATTTTTTAATGACCCCACCGTATTTTTGTCTTTTCTTGATTATCTCCCCTTGTAAGGGGACACGGCCCTTTATTTTAACAATTTACACTCCCCTTCACCCAAGGATACTTTGTACCAAGTTTGGTTAAAATTGGCCCAGTGGTTCTTGAGAAGAAGTTGAAAATGTGAAAAGTTTACAGACAGACAGACAGACGGACGGACGGACGACGGACAACGGGTGATCAGAAAAGCTCACTTGAGCTTTCAGCTCAGGTGAGCTAAAAATATCTAAGACTGCAACATCATTTATAACTGGAAGTTAATCCTAATGATTTAAGGACATACGCAACGTACTTTACCTACTGATAATTTTTCAAGATATTCTTAATTTAAGATTAAAGTGCCATCAGATGTTCATCAACAAAAAAGCAGCTTGCATTACCAGGGGTTTTGAAAAGATATCGGCTGATGAAAATTCTTGTAAAATTCAAAGAAAAATATACAAAAATTACTATACATATATTCTAGTTGTTTTGTTTATCCAAATTTGTTTTAAAAGAAGTGTGCAACAGCATATATAGACATTAAAATGTAGCACACAGTTCCTTTAAGTATTGGAACACTTCAACTCCAGGGAAAAAGACAATAAAGTTCAAACTACATTGCGTATGTCCTTAAAGGTTCGATGCAAAGTTACAGTAGTTGAAAGTTATTTAAATGTAAGATGACTTTCCATTTAAGTTGTAGAATATGAAAGTTTGACAGTTTTTCTTTGAATTTTGAATTACTCTGCACTATCCTCAAGTTCTTCAAGGTCAGGAACCTCCCTCTGTACAAGGATCCCTCGATTCATTTTGGCTGGATCCAGAGCCCAGTTAGAAATTCCTATGAACGCTACCTAAAATATCAAGAATATACAGGACTTTATTGATACATGTATATACATTTGTATGTAAAATCATCATTAAGAACATGAAGGTGAGGACGCAAAGCAAGATGAAAACTATATAAAGAATCTTTACTTTTTTATGTTCCTCTGGCTTTTCATCACCTTGACAACCATCTTCTAGCAAAGGGTGCAATGTCTACAATCATGAAAAAATTGATCACGATAGTGCAGTTAAAAACTGTCTAATATAACACCCTGTATGTGTCATTGTTTTCTGAACATCATTTTCATTTCCAATGTTTTTATATTCTCTTTCGCTTGTGTCCCAGTGAATATTGGATTAGACAAATTTCACCGTACATATTTTCTACTTTGAATGATTTTTAGGTCATTAAGCATAATTATTATATTATTATTAGCTCTCTGCAATAATCTATGCAGCTTGCACAGTGTTCGAAATTCAGAACTATTTTCTATGGATCCAAAGGACCCACAGGTAAAGGGACTACATGAGTCCTTCCAGGGCAGTGTAGGCCCAAAAATAATACCATCAAATATTTGGGAAAAATAAACTTTCATGTATTGATGATATCGGTAAGTTAATCACTTCATATGAAATATGTCAATTCAATAAAGGGTATCTACAACTCGCAAGTATTAACAATATGAAACGGTAAAACATTAATCGTCACACAGTCTTACTTGATGATATATATAATAACACGTAATGAGTTTAACATGTGTTAATATTACTGTAAACATACTTTTCTTTGGGATTATTTCAGTTTTTAAAATCCGTGGGTAGAAAATGACGCAGGTTTCTTAGATTGCCACAATATGTTGATAAAATTACTTAAGTATACTTGGACAATTTTTCGTGGAAAGTTTGTAACCGCACACATATAGCGTAAAATTACGGGACAAAATCTTCAGTACTTAAGTAAAATGCACATGAAAAGAAGAATTGATACGATCTTGATAGAAATAACAAGTTTTACCCATCTTAAGTCCTAATTTCTTGTACAGACACTCATTGGTTAATTTGTTTAATATATCCAATTAAAATGCAGGAAAGATATAAAAGTTAATGTAAATGCATAAACTAATAAACATTAACTTCAATCGCAACTTCTTAAGCCTTTCCAACAAGCCGTAAAGAAAAACAACGGTGTATTTTTCCAAGCTCCCCGAAAAGGTCCGAGAAGATGTGATTGACGTTACATGTAACTTGTTCCCGGCAAATCATCGTCGGCCCAAAATTATTTCAAGGAACCATTTAGTTGTACTATTCATGACTCCTTCCGTTTGTACGTCGGCGCAGGACCGATGGGCCGACGCTAATTTCGAAGACTGAGCTTGCATAATTAAATGCCTCTTTTTAATGATGGTATTACCAGTACTTATATCTGACTTAAACCCTCATGTAAACCCTGATTTTGATAATTCATTATGTTCAAGTTATAACCAAGATGAAACTTGGATACAAACGGGCAAATAATCAGACAGAACAAAAACAACATGCCCCTTAGCCCTTGATCTCAGGGGCATAAAAAGCTTATGATCCCTCTGACCTTGAGAGGCATTCTGGGAGAATCCTCAGCCAGTCCAACCTCGTCCAGTACGACAACAGAGACAAATCTGTTAAGATCTTTGTCTTTCTGGTACATGGCACACTGACGGAAAGTACCCACAATTCCCTCTGGTACAGATAAAGGGCTGCATTGGAAGGACACCATCTGGACCTACATGTATATAAACAAATCCAAATAGAAACATGATCTTATGTACCACAAGTCTCTTAATTAGAGAAAATATCTAATTATAAAGTTAACAATAATTATGACTAAAAAAATTTAACATTTATCCATTCAGTTTAATTTCTCACCTGTTTATAGTTCCTGTAAATCTCTGTGTGGGCAGCATTTCCCTGCATGGCATCAGCTACAATGGTTTTAGCCAAAGACTTAGAACTGCCAGGTTTCCCCACCAAGAAAAGAGGAATTCTCAGCTCTATACACACCACCATCATAAACACATTCTCTCTCAGAGCCTGGTTCTTGGCAATGTTGGCTCCCAAGTTATCAATCTCCAAGAAAATATTCTGGCATCTAAAAATTCTAATCTCAGTTAGTAAACTTAGAATAATAATCAGCAAGCATTGTAAAATAGACTTCATTTCTGTTGCATTTCTGCAAATAAGTAATACTTTTACAAACAAAATATTTCATAAATATTTATTGGATATTATCTGCAACAAAAACTTGAGTTGAACATAGTACACACCTTGTAATGATGTCAAACATCTGTTTAGCACCTCTCTGATTGCCAAATTTAGGAAGTACACATGGATGTCTAAACACATTGACCATTTCTTTTCGGAACTCCTCTCGGTTTTTCAGACAAGCATGGTAGCAGACTCCAAGAGCAAGAACAAGTGACTTTGTCAAATCGCTGACAGTCTGAAATGATTTTAATGGTCAATTTTAGAGTATGCTGTTTGAGCAAATAGTACAACCTTTAAGGATCTCTCTACCTAAAACCTTAAAGATATAAAACTGAAAGAATTAAATATCCTCCCCTGACCTGAGGCTGAGGCTCAGCCAGCTCCTGGTCCTCCATTTCTTCTTCCTCCTCTTCTTCTGAGTCTGCCTCCTCCTCCTCCTCCATCAGATCAAACAGATCTGTCTCCCCCTGACTCTGTCTGTAGAACCAGCTTATCACCTCTAGGACTCTCTCCACATCTCTCAGACTGACAAAACTACACTCATCCTGTAGAATAATCAAGGTTACTGTGAAGTAAGTAATTAAGTAGTGTATAACAAAGCTAGAAATAAATAATTGTTACAAACAATCACTGTAAACTCATAAATACTAAGCTGTCTGTGAATTTTTTTTTTTTTGAGATAACAAAAATTCTAAATATTAAATACACTGTATATCATTGCCATTATTATTAACTTTGGTTTGGGAAGGGTCCGATACTCATAAACCCAGATTATTAAGTTTCAAATATTCTTGCCTGTTGTCTCCTCATGAATTCCTGAGCTGATGTAAGAATATGACTGACTGTTGTGTCTAAATTTGGTTCATCTGGCAGTTTTCCTCCTCGAATCTAAAAAGAAACCAGAATGAATGAAAATTTTCTTCTTATCCAAACAGAATTTTATTTACTAGAAAGTTTTTGAAGAAATGATCCAATAGATGTGTTTTATCTCTTTAAATTCCACCTTCCTGAAATTTATTCTAAATTCATTTGCTTTGACTTACATATCTGAGGACCATCTGTTTGATGTACATTTCCTCCACATTGGTGTCTAGCTGTCCAAAGTCCCAGACCAGGGGGAGCATGCTCTGGGGGAGGGGCTGCACTCTGTATACAAGTCTCCTCATGGGAACTCGACCTGAAATACATTCCAGACAGAACTAATCAAAACATGCATGAGAAGTATGAAGAATGAGAATATAAATTTACCAGAAATGAGACACTTCTTTGTTAGAAATATTCTGGATCAAACACATTTCAAATATTTACACACACTTCATCTTGAATTTCATACAATGTGCATGCATGTACTTCATCTGAAGATTCATACTTCAATACTGTGCTTGTAAAGAGAAGCTTTATAATCTCTAGTCAGAATGACTTTGTTTCCATTCATAATCAGTACTATATATTCAAAAGATATCACTGAAAGTAAAAGTACCCATTCTGTCTGTGGTTTTATCAGCATCCACATGGTAACCCAGTCCTGCTTGTTCTAGCCTCTTGATCAGGTCCTCGGAATGTCTGCAATTGAAATGAGAATCTATCATTATCTAAATACAAGTCAGACTGTCAGATTGGAATTCAGATTTGGTCAGAGAGAGAGAGAGAGAGAATCAGTACTGAGTAATTACAGATAATGGAGAAATGTTTTTAAAAGCAAGCAGGAATCACTTACTTTCTGTAGGGGTTACAAGCAGCCACGATTTTCAGGGTCTGACAGAGTTTGAGTGGTTCCCCCTCCATTGAGCGGTCACACATAATCTCCTTGATTAGACCTATAGCCTCTGTGGTGTTGGCTTCATCAAAGAATAACACAGTATAGAGTCTTTGTCCATAATTAGCTGTGTTCTCCTGGGCTATTCTCTCAGCATCCAGCACTTTCCTGATGATGTCACTTCTACGTGTGCCTCCATGAACCTACACAGCATATAGATGTACAAAATAATATGATTCATGCAAAAGCTCAACTCAAAGCAAATGAGCTTATAATTAGTACATTGTTCATCTAATCCATGTACAAAAAAAATTATTTTACCTTCATAAGGATCATATTCTGAACCTCCACCCCAATAGGACACTGAAGCTGACACATGAATTTGACAAGCCTAGTCTTTCCACATCCAGTCTCTCCCATGATAATCACAGGAATGTCACATCTGAATCAAAAATGAAATTTAGAGTTTTTTTCTATCTCAATTTATTCAGCTGTTGCTTTGACTTTTTAAACTGGAGCATGAAGAGACTTTATATATAATTATTGCAAGTTGCAGATTTCAATAGCAATGCCTTTGCTAATACATATATTATTGAGCTGCAAAGACCAAGCAGAACTTTCCTCATGACTTGGAAATACAAATGAATGTACCCCTCCTTCAAATATTTACATTACCTGAAGCGCATGTAGATAGCTAGTATCTTCTTGACATTGTCTGTTGTAAGTTCATAGGTCGGGTCAGGATCAAATACATCTTCTACACCCATCACACTGCAGAGTTTGATGAGCTTTTGAATTCTGAAAAATACAGAATGTTTTTTTTATGTTTGTTTTTGTTCTTTTTCTTCTTTGTTCTTCAAAAAAGATGACCCCCTCCTTTTCCAACAATAACCTCACTACAAGTATATGTCCTCAATGATATCTTCTTGAATCCATATATATCCAGTTGAAATTTGGTATCTCAAACTTGGATTCATGTATCTCGAATACCATGGAATGTCGAAGTGATTTGGAAGTCCCAACCACTTATTCTTTGAGATTTTACCCTCGATACCTCTAATCCTCAGATATCTTGAAGTTTTTTTTCGGTCCCATCGAGTTTGAGATAACGAGGTTCAACTTTACAAACAAAACTTAATGCAGCAATAAACAACATATACATGTCCGGGATTGATGAAACTTTAATCAATGATTCAACGTTACTGATTTAAGTCTTATTTCATTAATTTAGCATCTTAGTGACAAGTGACCTTGAACTCTGAATGCTCTGAAATAAAGGTTATGCAAAATCTACAGGAAATGTGCAACAACATACTAAAGTTTGAATCAACTCAATGTATTAAAATTAATTGGAAAGATAAATAACCATACCAAAACTATATCCTTTTCTTCATTCTGAAAAATCATGACAAAACTTTAGACATATATGTAAATTACCTCGGGAGATTGTCGAAGTTTTCATTGATAGGGACCCTGTTTCTGGTGAGGGCATTTTGTAGATTTCTCTGCATTATCCCCCTTTCTAGGACGGTCCCTGTTTGTACGTCTATCAGGTTACCAGTCTGCCTCTCTATGTTAAATCCCAGGAATGTCATGGAGTTGTGGTCAGGGTTGAAGAACAAGTAGGGATGGGGGCTAAATATTAAAATATTGAAAAAAAGTCTTTCTTTCAAATACATGTGTGTGTAAAAAAGTTTGTCAAAAGTCCATTGTAAAGTATTTTACAAGGCAGCTAAAATACATTGATTTTATATCCACTCATTGGGAAATTGTTATCTATTACAACAACAGTTACTGTAATGTTCAAAGCAGCACACAAGGCCAGCCCTTTGTATATTATTTTTAAATGCAGAAGAATAATCAGAAATTTCATTCTGAGAAACATTTACTACCCCATCAACTACCAGCCATTAAAGGCTACTTGATGAGGTGCACCCCCCTCCAGAATACAGATTTTACCTGCTCTCCCACGTCCTCCTGAGCTGAAACTGATGAAGCACGTCCTCCTCATCCTCCTCCTCCTCAGTGTCCATCCTCTGTAACATCTGTATGGGGGACTCCTCACTCATATTCAGGGACCGGGTAGCAAAGTCCTGTAATATTCAATCATTACAATTACACAAATTAATTGGCTATAAAATTTCTAGAGCTGTCCTTCTCAAATGAACAATCCCTACAAGGTATGTTCATAATACATTGCACTGTACAGAAATAATGGATTATACAGTACTTAAGCAAGTTAGGTTTGATATTTATCACTTATACCAAGTCTTTACCTGAATATACAAGGTTATATGTCACTTGCCAAATTTTTTTCATATCATTGTCACAATGATACAATCAAATAACTTAATTTTTATCTGATTGCACTTGCTGACTAATCTGAAAATGTTAATTCATGGAATTTGATCAATGGAAATAAGTACCTATTAAGTAATATTCATACATGTATCAATATATACAACGTACACTTCAAACCCAAACATGCTTCATTTAATTTATAACATAAAATCAAATACAGTGCATCCCTAAAATACAAGATATGCCTGTCTAGAACTACATGCAAATCTATTTATTGCATACTAGATCACAGGTTGCAGCCATCTTAATTGCAACTACATCCATTATATCAGGAATAAGTTACTGTAACATACTGTAAGTCCTTTGTAATGTACACATTGCCATAAAATGCCAAAATGAGGTAACAGTGACCTACTTTTGCATCATGACATACTTTCTCTTAAGATGCATTGATCAAGTGACAAAGTTTGATGATTCTACCCATACATCTAACATTGTGCAAGATATGGCTTGGAAACAATTTGACTATATATAAATTATGTATAGCTACATGTACAGAACTTCAAAATGAGGTCACTGTGACCTCTTCTGGGTCATGAAACACCTTCCCTCCAGAATGCATCAACTGACACGGTTTGATAATTCTACACCTCACGTTCTGCACAGTATGTTCCTAACATAATCTGGCTATGTATGGTAATAATATCCCAAATGAGGTCACTGTGACCTACTTTTGGATCACTAAATACCCTTTCCCCCTAATGCATCAACTAACAAGGTTTGAGGGTCTAAACCCTCAGCTGATGGACAGACTGATGGTGTACAAAAATTTATAGTCAACAACAGATCTGAAACAATGCCATTTGTATCTGTAGGTGTTATCCTCAAAAAATCATAGCTGACCTTCTTATCAGTCAATCCATAGTGCAAATATAAGTATCTTAATTTAAGTCATTGCAACTTTATGGCATAGAAATTAAAATGGGGAGGAGATTTGAATAAAATCATATGTCTACCCCCCCCCCCCCCCCCCAAAAGAAAGAGAAAGAAAAAATTTAGTCCTTACTCTAGACATCTGGATGAGAAATCTTAACACAAATTGTGAAAATCCTGGGAGATCTTTTGCAGCTGCAAGACCAAGGAAAGCTGAGTTCTCAAAGTCCACCAGCTGTGTGTTAAGGAACCAGACAAAATGTCGCAGCTCAGCCCACGAGGGGTCTCTAATACCACAGTGCCTATATGAAAGAGTAAGGAGAAAGTTGAAGAGTTTAATTGAAATTATGAAGAATGGGAAGGGAGGTAGAGTGGCAGTTGTATTCATGTACTTGACAGCTCAAAACAAGCAAACAAATCCCTTATTTTAAAAAAAATTATTATCTGTTATACATTTTAAAAAAATACACAAATATATTGTTCATCTAGTAATCTTTATTACTTGAGCAGTGTCTGTAGACAGGTTTGGGGGTTTCCCTCTGTCCTCCTCATATCCACATCCCCTAAGCCTCGATTCATGTCCAGTCTGTACAGATACTGGAACGGCCTCTGGAAAACATTGCTCTCAAACTCCTTCCCATCAAACAGTAAGTCATTTTGCCCAATATCTATAAGCAGATTTAAATATACAATGCATAATATAAGCACATAAACCTTTAAACTACAAATAATTTTCTTTAAATACACTATTTTAGCCTGTTTCTATGTAGATTGCCAAAAAAAAAAAATTTCAATACTTGGAGCATTTCCTTGGTATTTCTTCAGACTTTCTTGAGGAGATCGACAGGTCACATCAGGCAGAATGTCCAGGCATCTATGCATGCATTTTATATAGCCTCTCTATAGAAATAAAGTACTCTAAAATAACATTCATTTTTTATATGACATAAAATTGAAAGGCTTCAGAATCATAGAAACTCTGGCATAAAGAATGATATTTCCAACAATAGTGTTTAAAAGAATTGGTATAAATTTTCCAGCTGACTTGTTCCTGGTAGTCCCGGGCCAAAAGAGGCATGGTTTCCACAATGTAGAGGTCATAGGGCAGCTTCCTCCACACATGTCCAGTACTGTTGGTCAGACAGCCCAGGATCAGTAACTGGAACAACAGATAGTCCACTCCCTCCTGGACCTGAACATTCAATGATCATTATACAGAATTTGATACAAGTCAATGTAAAGTATTAAACCGCAAATGCAAAAAATCATACAAGAGGCTCAAAGGCCTAGAATCACACTTCTGATAAATTGTACAACTTTATCACTTTCAAGTCTAAGACCTACTGTTGAGTGAACATGACATGAAGTCCTAAGATGCATCACCTGACAAAATTTGATGATCCTAGTCCTTATAGTGGACAAAATATCAAAGTTTTAACAAAACATCATTTTAGGTCAATTTTGAAGTGACTTTGAGACCACATCCTTAGTGCCAGGATGATGCCTTGAATAATTTTTATCTACAACATATCCTTATCCTTATTCATTTAGTTTGGTGATAATCTGCCCACTAGTGGTTCGTGATGAGGTTTTAAAAACCACTACTATTGTTTTTATTTCCCTAATTATCTCCCCTTGCTTAAGGGTAACTCCCTATTTTTAGTACAAATGAAAGCCATTGGGCCAAGGATATTCTGTGACAAATCTGACAAAGATTGACCAAGAGGTACTTGAGTTATATGGCCCATATTCCAAAAAGTTTACACACACTGCACAAATGTTCATAGCATTAGCTCTTTGAGCCTTTGGCTCAGATTAGATAAAATGTTTCATGTTTTAAGGATTTTGTGACCCTTGCTGAATGTCCCAATATTCCAGTACTCAATAAGAATATATATCTAATATAGTTTGAATCTCCATGATTTTTCTTGGAAAAAAGACCATTATACATGTATCAGCATATTAACCTTACCTCATGAGAGAGATCAATGTGAAACAGTCTTGGTTCTATTTTTCCAGGATGCAAGGTGTTATCCAGGAGAACACCCATGATGTCATCAATGTTTATTTCCCTCTCGTGTAACGGAATAGACACCACTGCCTTCTTGCTTCTGATCACGCCACCGTGTAGACCATGGAGTTTTTCTGCCAGTCTTTTCTTGTGTAAACTCTTCCCAACTCCGGCTCTCCATGATTTCACCACTCTGACTGTGCAGCTATTTAATTACGAAATACAAATATTAATTCATAAATGCCCACATCCTGAATGATGGAGTACAAATTCTGTCTTCAGAAAGTAAAGATGATTATACACTAAATAACCAAATAATAAAACAATGTCTTGTTGCGTACAAATCATACATCCACAAAAAAAACTAAAAATATATATTAAATAAAACTGTTTCAGCTTAGGAAATTTTGATGAACCTGATTATTAACCAGAGGTAATGTCAGATAGCTCATAAATTAATATTCCCTCAATTTTTATGTCCCCACAATCTAAGATTCAGGAGCATATAGTTTTTGCTCTGTCTCCGTCTGTCTGTTTGTTTGTATGAAAAAACTTTAACCTTGCCCGCAAGTTTTGACTGATTAGAGCTAGGGTTTTCATATTTTACACCTGTATTCCTTGTGACAAGACCTTTGTTTGAGTACCAACATATTTGACCTCTTGACCTTGGAGTTTTGCAGAATTTTACCAAAACATAATCTTGGCCATAGCTTTTGAACAGTTGGCATTAGGGCTTTCATACTTCACATGTGTATTCCTTGTGATAAAACCTTTCCTTGGGTACCAACAATTTTGACCTTAACCACACTTTTGACCTCTATATCTTGACCTTGGAATTTGACCTACTTTTAAAAAACTTCAATCTTGACCATAGTTTCTGATGGTTGCTGCAAGGGCTTTCATATTTCACAAGTATATTCCTTGTGACAAGAGCTTCCCTTGAGTACCAACATTTTTTATTGCTCGACCTTGACTTGGAGTTTGACTTAGCTTGCATTTGAGAAACTTTAACCTTGGCAATGAGCTGCCATACCGGGGAATAGTGTTTCACAAACACATCTTGTTTTAAGTGCCCAAGTACATTTTCTTAGTGACCTTGGATTAAGAAAATGCCACACTCTCTGTTTATTAGTAATCTTTGCATGAAGTATGAACTTACAATGTTTCTTCATTAGAAAGTTATAGACCAGACATGATTGTACAGACAGGAAGACAGACAGAAGGACAAGATGATTTCAATGTTCCCATCTCCCAAACTTTGCGCCAAACTACAATGTATATTCAACAGGATTTACTTACTGTTCAAAGTCAGCTTCAGCTGCAGGGGTAGCACTTGGTCTCCTGATGTCAAAGGTCAGCTTATCTTTGATATATTTTGTCATGTTGTTATGCGTCATCAGAGGAAGAGGGGGGCGTCTGTATTTGTCCAAGGCCGCCACAATTCTGGAGTGATACTCTCTTTCTGTGCTACAGACCACCACTAGTTTGTAGGGAATATCTATACAAAATTTAAAATATGGTTTAATTATATTATAATAACTTCAAAGTATGTTATTCAATTAAACCAAGATGTGTTTTTATTTATAAGGCATGGTATTTGAATAAGTACCAAGTTCTACAGCTTTCTGCATGTGATGATCCAGTCTCCTCTCCCCTTTATCACTGACTTCATAATCCAGAAGGTCTCCATTAACCAAACAATGGATTCTGTTTGTTGTGTCAAGTACAGCTCTCCTCCAAAATATCTCCACCTACAAAAAGCATCAAATACTAAATTTAGTACTGTCTCTGATGCACTAAATTATGTATCTTAGTGTAGTCTACTTGTGTGCCAAGTTAAATTGAAATCAACTGTAGGAGTAGTAGGGTTTTAAAGGAATTTCACAGAAATTTCTATTTTTAGTAACCACCCATGGCAGCACCATTCAATGAAATCAAAAACTTATGCACTAAGTTATGTGCCATTGTACAGTCTACTTGTGTTCCAAGTTATATTGAAATCAAACCGAAATTGTAGGAGGAGTAGCGTTTTAAAGGAATTTCAAAGAAATTTTTATTTTTAGTAACCATGGCAACACCGTTCATCGAAATCAAAAACCGATGCACTAAATTATGAATCTTAGTGTAGTCTACTTGTGTGCCAAGTTATATTGAAATCAGATCAAAACTGTAGGAGGAGTAGCGTTTTGAAAAATTGTTTACAAACAGACAGACAGAAAGACGGACGGACGACGGACACCTTACTATCGCATAAGCTCTTCTGGTCTTTGACCATTAGAGCTAAAAAAATATGCTTGCAAGTAAAGTTCATCTTAATATTAAATTGTGGTCTTGTATCTTTTCACATTTTTTTCTTTTCCACCCAAAAAACTGACCTCATCCAGAGTGGTGTGTGGAGTACACATCAGGATCTCATCCGACTGAGGAAGAGGCTGATCCGGATCATAGCTATATATTGTCAGCACCGTATTCAAAATCTCATCTGAAAATTAGAAAATATTCCATACCTTTAAATAATTATCATTACTTAACCCTGGAACTAGACAAATCAGTTTATTTAAAAAACATCTTTAAGCAATTTGAATTAGACTTTTGTTTATTTATGTACATTTTGTTTACATATATGTACCAGTAATGTACCTTGTTGACAAAGTAGCAAATTTGGTTCTCCTCTCTTAAAGCAACTGAGAAAAGGTCGGTTCACAGTAAATGTTTCTATATATTAAAAAGAAAAAATATTTCACCTTCTATTTATGATATACATAAATTTAAAATTAAATATTTTAACATATTGAGAATACAATGGCAGCAAAACCAATATGTAATTCTAGTACTATATATATATACAGTACAGGCCACGAGTTTTCCCTGAAAAACACGGGGCCCCGTGGACCGAAAGTCCACGCTTTAGTGTGGACCTCGATCAGTGTCGGCGTCTTTGAAGTTAGGGTGTCTGCGCACCGTGTAACACGGTGTGTACGCGCGGTGTATCACAGTGTCCCACTATGATATCAAGCAGAACTTATAATAAAAACTTTTCTTTTCTTAATTCAATCAATTATATCAATTTCCTTTGAAATCAGATATTTTTCACTTTTTTCTTAAATATTATACAATTATGGACTCTTTCGGTGGTGAATATGGTTTGTTATTCAACAGAAAAATATCAATATTGACCGAGGAGATATACAGATGTTTGAACAAATAAGATGCCATAAAATCTAAGATCCACGTGCTCTTGTCCAGCGAAATACAAACTCTTCAAAATGTGTTCGTACATCCATGTAAGTCACGTTTCAAAAGCCTAACTATACAAGAGAAAAAATATGTTCAATAGTCAGACTATTATTATACGGTATGTGGTATTTATCAGATGCATGCCTATTGGTTTATTTTATAAATCATTTGCTACGTAAAAAGATTTTTAAAAAAATATGCATCTAAATAAATAAAATTAAAAAAAAACGTGTCAGATACACACACATGAACTCTGCTCTCTGATTATACTACTCGGCGAATTATACAGTCATGTACTTTCGATTAAGGATTATTGCTGGTAACTCAAAACTGTACAAATATTACATTATTCTGAGATTATTTTATGAAAAATGTGTCGTACGGTTTGCGAAAAAAAAATCAATTAGCGAATGTAGAGCGGGGATGTATAGAACAAAGCTTCTCATGGTCAAAGTATTATCATGGTTTTAAGGAAGAAAATGTGTAGTTATAACCAAGAAAAAAAAATACCCAGCCTCTTTCAAGCTACATGCATTATGTTTGCTACCCCCCCCCCCCCCCCCCCCCCCGCTTCGAAAGTCTGTGGATTTACATTTATATGTTACGTTATGGTGAAATAAAACAGTCATAATCTAACTGTTTACATGTACATGTTTATATGTGTCTGAAAAAGGATAATTTACAAGTTTAAAATCGTGTGGTGGACTGGTGGTGTAACCCGGTAGATGAATTCGGCTGGAAGTCACTTGAGTGTGTTATACACATGATATGGTCAGGACGGAAGAATTTGAAAGGTGTGATAAACACACAGCGCCCCAGCCCTCCGGCTCTATCCAAATATATTTTAAAGAAAGGTGTGAACTCGGAACTGACCATAAGAATGTTTCAAATCACAAGAGAAAGACTTTCCGCATAAACAAACTTTCAGGGCCACCTAACGTCGTGCGATTTTGATTGACAGGTACAGCACGAGGATTTCGTGTGTTGCGGAGAACAAATTGATTGAACACATTTGTAACTGAGTTGAATATAAAACGAAGTTACGGAATTTAAATAGAATTATATAATCATTATGGTTAATTGTGACTTTGGTAATGTAAATAAAACGAAGAATTAAATTTATAAGAATCTCTCTCTCTCTCTCTGACATTGTTTCTTTACACACTTTTCATTTAAATAAAAACTTACCGTATTAAATACTTACACTGAAAGGATTTTAAAACAAAAGCATAAATACTAGTTTATGAAAAGATAAAGTCAATTGTCTGTTACGAGAAATACTCTTAGGCATTATAAAAACGAACTTTTTTTTTAGTTTTATGCGAAATGAAATATCTCTCTCTCTCTCTCTCTCTCTCTCTCTCTCTCTCTCTCTCTGACATTGTTTCTTTGCACACTTTTCAAATAAAGAAAAATTTATTACATACTTACACTGAAAGGCTTTTCAAAATATTAGTTTATGAAAATCTGTTACGAGAAATACGCACATTATTGTACAGAGGGATTTCGTGTTTTTGCTGTCGATTCTCGCTTATAAATTCAGAGTAATACAAGATTAACACAATAAATGTGCTCTACTCAGGAATATAAAATTAATGCTTTGATTGTATACTAAAAAAAACTGCAGCTCGGATCGTATACTACATGTAATGCAGCTCGATGGAGTCTTTCTCCGTTGCATGAGCACATTAAAAATTTCAATCCAAATTATAATTTTAAAAAATAGCTAAATAAATTAACGAAATACGAACTTCTAGGCATATGATAACCGATTTTTTAATCCTACTATGTACATATGTCATTAGTTCGATTCAGACCACAGTCAATGTCTTCTAGATTTTAAAACGATAATTATACATATAAATCAAAGTGATTAATTGTTTTTAAATTTTAAAGTTTTTATCAGAACCAAAAGATTTTCTCTGTAATGTTATGGACACGGTGCGGCACGGAGGGAATTTTCCGGGCACGGTGGGACACGGGGAGCATTAGCTGGGATTTTTCTAGACACGGTGCGGCACGGTGTGCCTACCTGTGTATTTCAAATCAACACACACTGTGCTACACCGTGTACACAGAGTAACACAGACCATTTCACATGGTGTGTTTTCCACCGTGCGACGGGGAAAACTCGTGGCCTGTACTGTATAGTGGACATTACAAACTAAGGACTGTACAAGAATTCTACTGATGTAAGTACATGTATTATATAGTATTTAGTATGCATACAGACCTGTTTCTGCGAGTCTCCTGAGGATGATCCCCAGGTGTTCCACACTGAGATAGTCTGACACACTGGAGGAAATGGAGGACAGGAATTCCTCCCACAACTGTTCTAGGTCTGGAATAAGGGTGTCTGCTGCTGTGGTGCTGCAGAAGACAATTATTATAGTAAAGACTTTACATCAGATGTACATGTATTCAGCTTTATTCCAGTAATTCACAACAAAAATCAAACAGAATTAATGTAATGTACATGCATATATATGAGATTAAAAACTTATTAATAATGATATTCATTTAAACAATAAAATGCTTTCTTTGGTTGTTAGTACGGGAATTAATGTCGCAAACACCTTCCATTCTAACTTGATCAATTCCATTTGATCAAAAGCTCTGTATGGTTGTTAAGAACAAAAAAGACAACTGAAATCTATGCATACTTTAAACACTTTATTTTCCAATTCTTACCAAATGCTTGTTAAAGAAACCATTATATATCTGGCATGTCTTAACAACTGTTTGTTAAGAACACGAAAAATAAGCTGAAGGAATTCTTAAGTAATTGCTTGTTAAATAAAATTAACGAGGTTCGCTCCTGAGCTTTTGAGCAGATTCTTATCTTAACCTATATTTCAAAAATTCTGCATAATGTTTTAATTCTTACAATAAATTTGGATTCTACAATGCCAATTTAACTATATTCAGTTAAAACTCCATGATTAAATTCCATACCAAAAGCATTAAGTGAGGAACTATATTTTGTGGCGGAAGGTTATTTAGAAGAAAATGATCATTTTTTCTCTTTTGAAGTATTTAAAGTATGTTAAGTTTGGATTCCTATTTTTACATGCAGGCTGCACACATAGTTATTTTGTGCAGTGGACTGTTTTATACTGGTACTAAATTATCTATTAAATAAACTGTCATGAATTCTATCATCATATTTGATAAATATAGCAAATATATTGTGGAAATGAAGAAAAAAATAGCCCTAATTTAAGCTTAAAATTAGCACTATTTTAGTAATATCTAAAAATTAACATCACAGACCCCCACTTTTAATTTTCTTTTCTGAATATATACGATACTTTTAACCATTCTTCTTAAATTCAGTAAAATGTCATTACTTTCAAATGATTTTTTTTGCTTGTTAAATTTTAATGCCAGAAAAATGAGAATGTTTGAGTGCAAAAAGGTCAAATAATTGAACATGCGGAGTAATTCGAAAATTTCTTCGTTGTTACAAATTTTAATGTGTCTATTTAAGATGAAATAAGACTGTGTTTGTTCACCATAATTTATTTGAACAAAAAATATTGAAGGAAAAACTTTAAAAATTGATTTATGTGTAAGACGTATTTACAGTGCAAAAAGGTCAAACTAAATGCTCTGAAGCGCCAAAAGAAGCGCATTGACCCCCATTTTTTGTTTTGATTTTTAATAAAGCTATGTGTATAAATTCTAAAAATATACTTGATAAAAAATTCTCATTACTTTTGATGGCAGGATCCAACCTCCTTAAGTAAAACAGTTTTAACAACTGCTTGTTAAGAATATACAAAGAATTTCACAAGGTATATTCTTAACAACTGGTTGTTAGGAATGGAAAGGAAGTCAAATGGAATAAAGTCTTAACAACTGCTTGTTAAGAATACCCAAAGAATTTCACAAGGTATATTCTTAACAACTGGTTGTTAGGAATGGAAAGGAAGTCAAATGGAATAAAGTCTTAACAACTGCTTGTTAAGAATACCCAAAGAATTTCACAAGGTATATTCTTAACTGGTTGTTTGGAATGGAAAGGAAGTCAAACGGAATAAATTCTTAACAACTGCTTGTTAAGAATACCCAAAGAATTTCACAAGGTATATTCTTAATAACTGGTTGTTAGGAATGGAGAAGAAGTCAAACGGAATAAAAGCTTAACAACTGCTTGTTAAGAATACCAAAAGAATTTCACAAGATATATTCTTAACAACTGGTTGTTAGGAATGGAAAGGAAGTCAAACGGAATAAAGTCTTAACAACTGCTTGTTAAAATACCAAAAGAATTTCACAAGATATATTCTTAACAACTGGTTGTTAGGAATGGAAAGGAAGTCAAACGGAATAAAGTCTTAACAACTGCTTGTTAAGAATACCAAAAGAATTTCACAAGATATATTCTTAACAACTGGTTGTTAGAAATGGAAAGGAAGTCAAACGGAATAAAGTCTTAACGACTGCTTGTTAAGGATGCTAGAAGTAGGTCCATGGAATCCTTTTAAAATTTGCTAGAAAACCGGGATAAAAATTGACAATTGACAATCAATTAAAATTATTAAGCAAATATAGCACATACAAGTTTAAAGAAATATTCTTTTTCTTAACAACTAGTTGTTAGAGGACCAAGGCTAGACAACTCAGGAAACATTGGGAAAAATGTCTTAACTTTTTAATAAAAAGAATAGGAGTATGTTCAAGATATTTTCTTTACAACTGCTTGTTAAGAAAGCTATGTTACAATAAATGCAATTCTTTTAAAACCCTAATAACTGGTTCTTAAGAATATCGTAGATGCCTGAATAAGTCTAAACCCTAACAACTGCTTGTTAAGAAAATCTGAAATAGCTTCAAGAACATCTTAACCTTAACAATTGCTTGTTAAGAATATCTTAGATAGCTTCCTGAAAATGTTTTAGCAACTAGTTGCTAGAATAACAAGGGAAGTTAATTCAGAAAACTTTAAAGGAAAACAACTTTTCAACAACAGTTTGATAAGAAATTCATTATTAAATTTATATGTTTATAACATGTGATAACAGTTACTTGCTAAGAAAATAAGTCTGAAAAAAGATTTATTTGCAAGTCTTAAACGCTGATTGCTTAAAATATAATATAAAAAGTAAATATTTTTAACAAGTGGTTGCTAGAGAGCTAAGGTAGTTAATTCAGATAAATTTAAAGAAATTTTGGCAGTTTTCTGTGTGTCTTTTTTGTTTAGTATTAATAAATTCATATTAATATTAGACATGATAAATTGTTCATCGAGTGTTCCTAAAAAAGTCTTGCAGTAGGTTTACTTGTTCTTCTCTATTACTCCCAAGAATTCAACAACTGCCACAGTGTAATATTCTATTCCTCTTCTGTAATACCCTGTAAAAAATATACATCATTTGAGTGGTAAAATTCATATGCTTTGATATTTTTTTCTATCTAATATATTGTCAAATAAACCATTAATTGAATTTTTACATTCACCAAACAAATTTATTGCATTTGTGCATAATGCTGGACAGATTTAGGCAGAGAAGTGTGATGGAGTAAACATGGAATTTGACCTCAGATACTTAAAAAAAAGGTAAGAACTATGTCTGAATAATAAACTGCATTTGGTATCTTTATTTTTTTTTCTAAAAATGTGGCAAAATGAGCCAGTTCTTCCTAATGGAAACATATCCAATAAAAGAGGTTAGGACAAGTCCCAAAAGATGAGTAAACCAAGACCCTGAAGGAGATCCCTCCCCCAAATATTTAAGCAGCCATAATTGCCATCAGATTTGTTCCCTTTTCCAGACTTTGTGTATTGCAAAAAGTCTTTATCTAAGCAATTAATACCATTGTCATTTGCTGGAAAATATTAAAAAAAATTCACACTGTACAATTTCAAATTAGTTTTCATTACTTTATACAGGATTTATTTTGAAAGAGTTTAGACAACAAGGTAGTTTTATCCAAGACTGGGCAATTAAATTCCTTTGCTTAATTCCCAAGAGATCTAGATAACATCTGCCTGATCAGAGATGCCCTACCAGTTCATTCCTCACAAGAAACTCATTAATTTATCTCTAATTCAACATCTAATTTGATATTAAAATTCTTCTTGACTACTGCTTGATAATTACACCAATGTGGAATTTTTCTCTTGTTTTTAACACAAACAAAACATTTTATGTTTGTTAAAAATTGTTGTAAAGTTAGCAATGAGAAAAAAACTGTGTTTTCTTGATGAAACATTTTTTAAATATTTGCAATATTCTTACATCTTTTGGGACTGTATAATTTAAAATGTAAAGACATATATATATATATATATATATATATATATATATATATATATATATATATATATATATATATATATATATATATATATATATTAAATTTTGCCTTAAATGAAGGTCAAAGTGCCCTTTAAATAGGATGCGACAAACCTTCTATTTAAGATGCATCAAATGGCCAAGTATTACGGTTCTTGGTCTAACAGTTATCTAGTAATGAGCTGGACAGGATTTTCCCCTTTCTTGACAATAACATCTTAATTAAAGGTCACAATGACCTATATTTAGAGTGAAACACACCTTTTACACAAGGTGTACCAGCTGACAAAGTTTGTTAATTTTAGGCTCATAGTATAAAAGTTATGAGCCGGACACGAAAAAGTAAACAGACAGACACATGGACAAACATGAACGCCATAACAAAATATGCCCTGCCTTAAGATGAGCGTATAAAATTATAATTCTCAGGCAGATTATTATTTCAAATATCCTCATTCAATTGACAAAATGAAAGCTTTATTACAGCAGAAGAGAAGAATTATGACATCTTAGTGAACCAGTTGCTGCGTAAAAAATCGTCCATTTGACAATTTTGAAGAAGTCAATAAAAATAATGTTTAATATTGTTTCTTTGCCACTTAAGGGCGTAAAGTCACTTTGTATAATAGTTCCTGTAACAAATTCCATTATAGGGTATGAAATTCACTGTAGATTAATTACATGCGTTCAAATGCTTTACCTAACAAAGACCAATCATTTTTCATATGAACGTATAATTTGTAAATATGTTTTAAAAATCAAAGCATAGATTTATATGGCACCACTTCCTATTATTATATTATGACAATGAGCATTAGACTTAATTTGGCAGATTTTTCTTTAAAAACTTGTATTGCTTAATATGAGGAAATATTTGTCCAGTCCTATCTTTTCTCTGTGTCATGATAACAGATCAAAGAGTCCGTAATATATATATATATATAAAGATTACCTAATATCAAGAGAGAGAGAGAGAGAGAGAGAGAGATTACCTTAGGTTTTTAATCTTAGTCGATGCCGTCTAGTATAACATTAATTCGATTGTTTCTTTAAAACTCCACAAGACAA